ACTGCCCTTGCACTGTTCACCATGTAAGAACTTATTCACTATGTAAGAATTTGTTCACCATGTAAGAACTTGTTCGTTATGCTTCAGAAGATTGGAGACTGTTGAGAGTTGGGCTTGGGGTTGATTAATGATTGTGCATTGAGTCCTCTATACAGAATTTTATTGTTGTTAACAACCATTTGATCAATAAATATGAGAGATGCCCTCTCAAAAAAAAATAAAATAAAATAAATAAGCCAGTCACAAAAGGATAAATGCTGTATGCTTCCACTTAGGTGAGGTACTTGGTCAAATTTACAGAGACTGAAAGTAAAACAGTGGTTACCAGGAACTGGGGGGAGGAGAGCACAGGGAGTGAGTGTTTAATTGGGACAGAGTTTCAGTTTGGAAAAATGAAAAAGTTCTGGAGATGGATGGTGGTGACGGCCACACAGCAATGTGAATGTGCTTAAAGCCATAAACTGCGTGTTCAAAAATGATTCAGATAGTCAATTTTATGTTACACATATTTTACTATTTAAACCTTTTTTAAGTGTCTATTAAAAAGATAATGTTGTCTGATCATTATTCCCTGCTCCTGCAGAAAACTTAGAAGCCTTTTGTAGAGTTCATCCTCAAATTCTGGAAAGAGATAAAGTAGCAAAATGGATTTTCAAAAGCTGGGGCTGCCTTAGTTGTTTGCATTTCTCAGTAAAAAGTTGCTTTCACATCAGATCCCTTTCTTTCCTACTTCCCTCCCCCAAAAAGAGGCAAGTAGGACAAAAATAAAATAAAGTTTTTAAAAAGTAAAATTCTAAACTAGAGGCAGCAGCATGTGGGACCACCAGAACAATTTCCAGGAGCCAGGAAGCTGCTACTCAAGGGTGGCCCATACAACATGGATGGGGAGAACCTTGGAGCTAAGCCATGAGAGAAGCCCACTGGTCTGGTCACCTGCCTCACAGGTGATCGCCTGCCAGGTGGCTCGTGAAGAGGTCCGGGCCCTCCTTTATACTCTAAAGCCACTTACCTCACAGAAGTGCTTCTCAATGATGTTCAAAGCACTCAGGGCCACCTGACGGTTCTCATGAAGTTGCAAAGCCTCAATCCGATCAATGCCACCAAGTTCTTCTATCAGAAGACACAGGTTTTCCTTCTCTGAAAGTTTCTCTGCAGCCTGTGGTGGTCGGTATAAGAGAAAGTGAGGCTCTGGGCAAAAGCCCTTTGGAGGTAGAGCTTCCCCTTGGGAGAGGGGACTAAAGGCTCCCATTTCAGGATGGGCAGATGCACTCTTACTTTTCCCAAATGGATTTAAAATTGCACAAGCATCCTCCCATTTTAGATATCTATGTACATATATTTAGGTTTACCTTTGTTACACAAAACACATTATTTCTTTTGCTGAATATGTTGCCGCCCAGAAATATATTGCTATTGCTATTTAGTTGATATCCCGCTTCTAATTAATGGAAGTTGTTTTATAGACAGTTTGAAAGAATATTCAAGTAATGCTAAGCAAATGCAGATGTTCTGGCCCTACGCTCCCTGGAAAGCCTTGGGAGGGAAGACAGGAGACACTTGGTAACAGAAACCACACCATGGCACATAATGAAGTCCCTGGAACCAAATAATGTGAGTGGATTGAATCCAATTCACTCCATTTGTATATATTCTGTGGGCGAGGCACACAAAATCAGAGATAAAGATGTGAATTCAAGAAAGTCTTTTCAAAACTGGTACTACTGGGGAGACAAGTAAATAATTGTTCTAGTATAAAAAATATAACATAGTAAACAACCAGAGTTTGAGTTACGGAAGATGTGCCCAGAAGGCTTAGAAAGTCACACCAATTCTTAAGGAATTGTACTGTGCCAGGGTCAACCATAGCATAATCACAGCAGGGACAAAAGGAACAGCAAAGACCAAGTTTTGAGGGAGTAAGTGTTGCATATTAAGAGATGAGGGAGTAATTGAAACAGCATATTTGGGGGAATGGGGAGAGAGAAAGAAAAAACTTTTGGTGTCATATCCCAAAAGGCTCTGCTATTTCGTGAGCCGGAATAAAAAACCTTCTTTGGATGCAAGCAGACCTTATTTAGGCAGTATTATTGGCCTGATGAGAATTTGCACTCTAAGCCTTGGTGCCTACCCTCTAGTCCCGCCTGGAGGTCCAAAATGAGTCATTGGCTTTGAGCAAAGAACCACGTTAGGTTAGCCTCAGAAAGAAAACTCGGAAGTGGGGGATGACCCAGGGCTGTAGGAGCCCTGGAGAAGGATTTTAGACCTTGAAGGAAAGCAAATGGCCCCAGAGTTACCTCAAAGGCCCTCGGCTCACTCTGTCCCATCTAGATCTTTCAAAGCTCTCTCACATGCCTCCATCTGATACAGGGGTACACCTGCCCTCAGAAGTGATTTACCCAGACTCTCCCAAGAAAAAAATCCCATTGTCTAATTCAAATGAAGCAGATGAAGTTAAATTTCTATAACCTGCAAGTGTGCTTTCAAATTTGTTACGTCCAACTTTATCCACTGGCAGCCAAATCTCTACTTTTCATCTATGTGATTTGTTCAAAGTCTTAGTACCTAACAGGGCTGTACTTCAAATCTGTTCTTGACTCGTGTCAGTTCTTACCAAGACAATTACATGAAAAAGATGTTTAAAGTGAGCTTTTAAAAGGAGTCCCCTGGTGTTACTTTGAAATTTTCCAAGTTTGGTTCAGTACAAAAGGACGTAAGCCAAATGAAAATAGCCAGCCTCCAAGATGGCCCCAGATGACCCCTGCCTCCTGGTATTCACAGCCTTGTGTGGTCCCTCCCACGCTGAATAGGGCTGATCTGTGTAACCAGTCGGATGTTGTTGAAATGACCTCCAAGACTAGGTCATAAAAGAAATTGGGGCTTCCACCTTGCTTTCTTAGATCACTCACTCTAGAGCTGCCGTGATGTGAGGACACACATATGGAGAATAAATGTGGTGAGATAACATCCCAGGCACGTGAGTGAACCATCTTGGAAGCTGAGCCTCCAGCCTCCAACAAGCCTTCAGATGACACTGCAGCCCCAGCTGAGTAACATCTTGTACCTCATGAGAGACATTAAGCCAGACCATCAGCTAAGCTGCCCTCAGATGCCTAACCCCAGAAACTATGTGAGACAATAAATGTTTCATTTAAGCCCATTAAGGGGCAATACGTTATGCAATACAGAAATGACACCAATAGTATATAAATATTGGCTTAACTGACTATTTCAGAAAAGAAACTCTTCTAGAATTCTAACAATAGGCTTTGTAGTCCATTTTCTCAGGCATATAGATGAATGGAAAAGGAACTCTAGTATGGCCCCTTAAGATTTAAGAGCAACTTCTCATTGCTCCTTCAACTATACCCTAAGTTTTAGCCTTCTAAAAGAGCCAGCCATGTGGTTCACTGGCTAGTTTTTTCTTTCTATGAACCTTCAATCGGCTTCTCCATCTCACTCAGAGTAAGTCAAAGTTCTAACAGACCTTACAATGATCTGGCCCCTGGATGCCTTGAGCCTGACTTCCCACCACCTTCCATCCCCTTGTTCTGCTCTGGACACAGCCTCTCCTTGCTATTCCTTTTGTTTAGAGTACAAAGATCTATCCAAAAGATATCTTTTTAAGACTTTATGCAAATGTTCTTCCTAGACAAGTTTCTCCTGACTACTGCATATGAGAGCACCATGCCCTCCTCACTCTGAGCATCAGTGACTATACCCTGGTCAGATACATTTTACCCATAACTCCTACCTAGTATGTCTGTTCCTACCTCACTAACATATAAGCTCTGTTAGAGCAAGGACTGAGCAGCTCAAACAGTGCTGAGCACAAAGACACTCACTGGAGAAAATGAACATGGAGTTTCCTTGAAAAGCCTCGTGTTTTTGTTATCTGAAGGATGTGAAAACAGGAGGAGGTGGTGGGGGCATGGAGAGGAAAGAAGATCCTACTTGGGTTTTAAGAACCAAATTAAACACCTTAAATTTGGAGACGATTATTTAGAGATCAGCCTGTACAGAACAGCTCACCTGGAGGATAAAGGAGATGATGTTGAGGATGATGATAACAATTCTGGTGTCTTGGATAGGGAGCAGATTCACCAGTGGCTCCAAGACTCCAGAGTGCACAAGCTGGATCAACTGGTCCATGGTGCTCCCAGTTGTGAAGTTAGCCACTGCCCAGACAGCCTCTTTCTGGACTTTAAATTCTCCCTGCAGGAGAATGTTGGCATACTTTACAGGTCTTGAAGAACTTAAATATAGTGAGGCTAACTTCATTCGATTCCTGTAGGCTGGTGACAGCCAGGACTATACATGAAATTGACACTGAACACCTTGACGACCTGACTCTTAGTTCTTGAACAGAAAGATGACAGCATCTTTGAGAAGCCAAGAAGCAGGCAAGCCAACTCCCATGGGGCCCAGGAGGGAGGTACTAAGATCAAACAGACTCATTTCCTTAAATCAGTGAAAATAGAACCAACATAAACCAATCTAGGGGATCTACAGAGATTAGGAATTATGCTTGGAATTACAAACTGTAGTGGCCTGTCTCTACATTTCTAGTCTTTCTGATCCAGTAAAACTTTGGACAAGAAGCTCCATAGCTACAAAGCTGACCACACAGACATGATCTCAG